GCGCTCCGTACCCGGCCCTCGCACGTGTCGCGCCGGAACGTTAACGTTCGTGGTGTTTTCAGGAGAAAGGCAGAGAAATAAACTGCAAAGCGATTTATTTCCGAGGTGGTTCTGGCAATCTGAGCATGCCCCCCCCTTTGCATAGCCACTTTTCCTCCTGCCTGAGCTCTCTCCCTCCCCCGAGCGTGTTTACCCTGCAGTCTGCGCTCATCACTCTCTCTCCGAGGCTGTGGTGGGACTAGTAAGGTGCTGGTAACAACTTAAATTATAACTTGCATTATCAGTGTTTCAAGCAAATATTGGTTGAAAGAATGTGCCTTTCCTATCGGTGCTGTGGTTGCTGGAAAGAATCATTGATTAGCTTTTAAATAGTTAACACTGCTGATATGCTGCCCTTCAAAATGTTACATTGATAACTGGACAGGCTGATGCCAAGTGTCAGGATACAGCATTGATCCACAGCTGGTAATTTTTTTGAATGGTAATGTCTGCCATATAATTTAAAGGACTAATAAGTTCTCTGAAAAAAAAGGGGGTATAACTGTACAAACAAAAAGCACAGAACTGCCCTACCTTCCTGAAAATTACAGGCCTCACTGGCATGGTAGTCTTCTTTTGGCAGATCAGTTGATAAAAAGACTGATCATCTAAGCAAATTCTTATTATCTAAGAATCTCTTTGTTAAACAGTTAATGTGTAACTACAGTATATGTATTTTATTTGGGCTGTAGCAAGGGGGAGAGTGTCTGAGTGCTGGTGTTTTTTGAGCACCTCTCAATGGTGCTGCTTGTTTCCCTGGTGAAAGCTAATCCTCAGAAAAAGAAACATAGTCCCTTAGTTAAGGTTGCATGTGAAAGTAAAGAGATCTGACCTCCTGTTCTTTTCAGTTCTGTAGTCTGTCCCTAAAGTCTTCCCCACACAGGTGTGTTGTGGTGGTCTGTGGAAAACATTCATAGCCCTTCATGTGAAAGGCAACTCACAGTCTAAAGCAAAGGTTTTCTGACATCAGCAGAAAAAGGAGAGCTTGTGATCTGTGTTGAATTAGTTCAGATTTGCAAAGTACAACTGGCTTTACGAACTTACTGCAAATACCAGCTCTTGTAATGATTTCTAAAATTCTGATTATTTCCTAATAGCAAGTTGTGGGCAGGCATGAGTTACTATAATCCTTAAAAAATGTCACAAAGCTATCAGTGGAGGAACTTACAGCTTTGGTAATACTTGGCTGCTCAAAGTGATGCTTTTGAAATTGCTTTCATCTTGACACTGACAGCCTGCAGTATGAGCTGTAATCAGCTCTGGATCTTTAAGGCTGGGTTAGGTGCCTTCTCTGTACAGTTTCTTGCTTTATTTTGAAGCTGGATGTTGTTTTGTTTATAGCAAATTCCAACTGATTTGTGTCAGTAGTTCTCATAATTTGCTGATCTTGGAAATTCATTCATAATTACATCGTGCTTCCATTTAGCATGAATTGTATGGAAAAAAGGTGATCACAGGAAGGAGTGGCTTTGAGAGGAAACTAAGAACAGCTCTTTTGGAAGACTGTCATTGAAACTAATTAAAGAAGTATATATTGAGCAAGAAAGGCTGCCAGACAGTTTGACAGACTTCTAAGACAAAGGGACTTGTTCTGACAAATTTGTGAGTGGATGAGGAAGAGCCTCGATTCTGCTGCTTGCCTGGGTTCAGCTTAAGGAAGAGAAAGAAATCCTGTGTGTTGTGTGTCTGTGTATAGGGGCAGATGCAGAGTAGATGGAAAGGGGATGGAAGAAGGACAGACAGGACTCTTCTACACTTGCACTTCCTCGTGGCAGAAAGGGATGTACAGGTGGTTTGGATGTAAAGAGATGCACAGCTGTGGGTTGGCAGGAGTGCCCCAGCACTGCTGAAAACTGAAGCACTTGGTTCTCTTTATTGGTGCTGGGGAATTGTTGCTAAATTTAATTTAGAGCTTTGGAGCACTGTAAAATCCATCGTGGTGGGATTTTGGCAGTTTGGAAGAACTTGCAAATTACAGAAACAATGTTATTGTTTCATTAGGCACATGGGTCTGTGCGAGTGAATGTAACAGGAAAACTCTGCTCTGAGTAAGAAGAGACTATAAAAATAAAGGCATGGGATGTTAGAAAAACAGTCCTTTCTTTCATCCTTGTAATTAATAATACAGAAGGAGCTGAAAATTGTAGCCAGAATTCTTGGAAGACTTAAAGAACAATCTGTAAACACTTGAGGGACTTGGTAGTGGCAGGAAGATTAGAGGGAACCCCCTTAACAGCTTCATCAGAATTCCCTGGCTGGGCTCCTTCTCTCTGGCTGCTTCTCCCTAGGGGTCTGCATCTTATCTCGCTGGCTTCCTTTCTTCTGTTTGCCTCTGACTAATAGGCTTTGTCTTCTGGTTACTGGAAGTCTAATAATTTCTTTTGTCTCTTCCCCCTTCCTCCTTTTTAAAAACACTAGATTAATGGCTGCAATGTTTTGCAGACTATCTGCATTGGTGACATGGATTAATTGTATACTTGACTCTAAGTTATTCAGCAGTAATGACATAGTAACTCGACTTGAAACAATTGTAATTTCGTGGCAAATGTTCAAGGCAAATGTTGCCTTCTGGTAAAGAGCCACCTGCAATTTACCCCCTGTAAACATATGACCCGAGTAAACTGTCTGTGCTGGTTTTCTCAGTGTCCTCTGTACAGTAAGTTGTCTCCAGTGTGTCTTTTGAAACAGTCAGTGATCTATCTTTTCTCCTCCCCCCCCTTTCTTTTGACTCTAGCTTGAGTCAGATAATTACAGATCTGGGTTGAAACCTTCCCTGGGAGTGATCAGAAAAGCCAGGACTTGCAGACGTGCTCCCATCGCTCACTCGCACCTTGGCTTCCCCCCTCCATGGGAAAGGTTGTGGAACCTCCTGGCTGTTGGTGAGCAAGTCAGAGAGCCCTGGGGGAAGGGGGGTTGGCAAACCCAGGGAGAGCTCTGATTTCCACACAAGTGCCAGTGTTCTTTGTGGTGCCATAAGGAGGTTTTCCATGTCACGTGTGGCTTTGGTGTGACAGTGTGGTGATGTCTTTACATTCTGATCTCAGTGCTGACCATAACAGAGCAAGCAGGGGAAGAGAAAGGGAATCAGAGCCTCTTGCTCTGATAATCTGAGAACTAGCCCATTTAGGTCTCTGTTTTATCCATATGTCTTGTGGGGCACTTTCCAGTCCAATGATCTGCATCTTAAAGGAAGCAGAAAACCTGGATTTTAGGTAAAGGTTATTTAAATGCAGCATTTTGCTGCTAGAAGAATGATGGCTAGGGGACTACTTAGCTGCAAGTATTAAAGAACTCTTTCACAGAAGTAGGAATACAGTACAGAAACCAGCAAAAGCATGGGTGGAGAGACAGGATTCCAGTAAAGGGAATGAGCTAGAATAATCTTCTGGTATCTCAGAAAGAATAGTTATAAATGCTGTTCTGTCTACAGCATCTGTTTTGTGAAAGACAAAACTTACTTTGCAAAATGTGAGAATGCTGTTACTGACCTCCTGTCACAGTTTGTTATTCCCAGAAAGTCAGACTGCCAGAGACAGTATGGCAGTCATAGTTGTTTGTTGTCTCACTTTTCTGTTTAGTGAATAGAAGTGGGTTTTTTTGAACCAAAAGGATTCAGTGCTCCTGAAATACACCAGTCTTATTTTTGCATCCATGTAGTAGCAGAAAGTGACAGTTTTTAGTTCTTACTCTGGTTTTTTTTTTTAGTGTAATACTTTTCCTCCTGCAGCTTTGAAACTTCTAATGCAGTCAGTCTCATCTTTTTGTTTCAAAACTGAAAGGGAGGGAGAAAAATCATCATAATGCCTATGATTATGGGAGGCATGTGTAGCTTAATGAGAGTCTCACAAACATAAATATCCTGGCTCTTGGTTTTGGTCATATGCTGACTGTTCAATATTTTCATAGCCAATGAGTCTGTGCAGAAAGCCTTGAGAATTCTGGATCAGCACATAAATGGGCGGCCTGGAAGTGCCAAAGGTCTGATGTGTACCAGCTTCCAGCAGTTACCTGTACTTGGAGTTAGTGATTATGTCTCATGAAGCACAGGATAGAGACCTACACACCTTGTCTCTTGTGAGGCACAGGACATCAAGTGAAACCAAAGAGATGTGAAAATCTGTGAAAAAAAGGTGCGTGTTGGTTGAAGCTGCCACCAGATTTCTTGAGGAGAGTGGAGAGTCTTTGTTACAACTGGTGACCAAATTCAGGTTCTCAAAGGAGCTCCTTTGAGGCATGGAAGTACTGCAGGATCCTTGTACAGTGGGAAGGGTTGTTGTTCTCTGCAATAGGGAAGTTGGGACACAAATCAGGAGAGAGAACTAGGGCTTCTGCAGGTGGCTGTGTGTATTTTCTGCTTTAAAAACTGTGGTCAGTTTAAAAATCCAAGTGTATGCTCTTGAAGCACTTTCATATGTCAGTGCTTTCACTTAGAACAATTTGTTGTACATAACTTAGATATGATTCCAGTATTTACATGGTCAGCTGGTACTGAAGTTCCTACACAACTGCATGCAATGAGTGATTCTTTTGGCTGGCAGCCTGTAAACTCTGTTACACTTACTGAGATGGCCAGTGGGCCTTCTGTAAACTCCTCAGGAACATCTGCTGCCAGCATGGATCTTATGAGGTGGTCTGGCTATTGTCTTTAGACTTGTCCCTTCACTGCCTGAAGGCTGTTTGGGTCACGGTCCTCACATCTGCTTTGTGCTGGAGAAGGGACACTGTTACCCAGAGCTGCTGGAAAGGCTTCCTTTTTTTTCTGTGACTGCTGTCTTTATTGCTGAGAGCAGTATGAGAACTATAAAGTTATTCTCTTACTACAGTTAGTTCAAAGCATATCTTATTATTACAGGAGTCAATTGATATCTACCTGAATTATATTCAGCTGAACATAGTGGATGAAGGCGCCCCAGACACTTCAAGGTGAAGTCTGATAGCTGAATTCAGTGTAAAAGAAAATCTGTGCACACTTAGCTCAGTTTAAAAGTAAATGTTTTTTTTTCCATTGCAGAGTAGGTTGTAGACCAAGGTGGTTTTTCAAAGTTATTCTGGTTTGGCTGCAAATAGTTGCAGTTTTCCGTAGATTAATTTGTGGAATGGACTGAACCAGAGTAAGATAAATATTTGCAGCACAGCTGCTTTCAGATGCTTGCAGTGAGACACATCTCTGTCAAATATCTGTGGGCTGTGGTTTCTTTTGGTCCCATAATCTGCAGTTTTGCTGTAGAGATGTGAACTGGTTGTGTCAGAGCACAGAGTAGCTCTGCCCCTGGCATGTGCTGCTTTAATTATTCATAATACAAACTGAAGTGCTAAAGGTCTGTCACGCTGTGCAAAAGTTACAGCGTACCCTGGAAAAATACTGAAGGATTATTCTTTTACAAGCCTCTGCACATGAAAGGGAAAAAAACAAACACTCATTAGAAGATGATTTGCTTTTTTGTATGTGCTGGACCTTGAGAGTTGTATGGCCTTTGAGAAGGATCTTGGGGGAGAGGGAGAAGACCAGTAGTTTTTAAATGGATGGAGGTGAATTGCTCGGTGACCAAACCTTTGTTTTTTGAAGGTGGTTGAGTTTTGTGCAGTGAAATAAATGAGTTTGTTCATGTCTAAGTGTGTATGAGGTAGGGAATTGGATGGAATCTGATTTGGGTTCTGGTTTCAGCTTTACTGAAAACTGATGGCATGATCTTAAGCAGCTGTGTCGTTTGGCTGTCTTGATTTCCCCTCAGCCCCTTGTCTTGCTCATAGTCTAAATAGACTTCTCAAAACAAGTACTGCTACTGCATGAATTAGTTCATTAATTTATTTATATTACAGAGACACCTGAAGGCACCCTTCTAAAATTATATTTTGTTTAGCTAACTGGACTTAGATTTGTTCTTTGAAAATAAAATAATCCTAACAAATCATCCCACCCACCTAATAAAGTAAGATGAAGCACTTAATAGGAAAGGATTTAAAACTTTTTAATGGGACCAAGTGGAAAAACAATGAGAAGTAATCAGTTAGTAAGGTATTGTGTGGTTAGGGAATGTAAAAGAAAGGGAGGGACTCAAGGATGATGCATGTGTCTCTGTTGAAAAAGCTACGTAAGGAATGTGTCTTACAAAAGAAAACATAGTAGGATGCCTTCAGGCTCTCTCTCCCTATAATTTTTCATATTATTATTATTAATTTTTCCTTGTATAATTAGCTGCACACAGTGAACTACAGTTCCGAAACATCTGTTCCATTTTTTTCTTAAGACTACTTGTTGGACTTTGAACATGAAATGTGATGTCATGCTCTGTGTGTTAGTCAGGTGCTCTTCAAGAGTGCAGAAAGCAGGTTTCTTCTGCCCCATCTTGAATGGAAAAATCTCCCTTGATGTCCCAGTTCGTGACTTGAAGTGACAGCACACCATGTTGTGGTTCAGTTGTTTGTTAAGAGGCTTTTGCCTGCATCCTGGTGACTGTGGGAGCTCCTCTAGGAAGAGATCTGGGGTAACTCTGGTTCTTGGCACTGAGACCTGGCCCAGCATTATGGACTGTAAGCATTGTTTCTGAAACTTTTTGGGATTTTTGTACCTGGTCCTCTCTTCCCTTCCAAACTAGTTAAGCCTTTCCAGTATGGCCTTTCTCAGAGAAGTCCACTTCTCATTTGAGGAGGTATTCAGGCTTCCAATATATGCGTTCCTGGCTTGGCTTTCCCATAGACTGCCGTGTAGCTTTCTGCCAACTCTGCATGGTCCCTTTTCATGTGTTTGTATAACTAGCTGTATAGGCATGTTCTGTAGAGACAAATTTTACCCAGTTTGATCACGTTTCTGAAGCTGGTTTGTTTCCAAAGCTCAAACCAAGGTTAATCAGAAATAGTTTGTTACCCCGCTTTGGAACACATCGACAGAGTTCCCATCTATCCGCCCCCAAAATCATAACCTCTCTGGAGTTCACTGAAAGGTGCTTAAACTGCAGGAAGCCTCACAAGCTAATAATTCATTTTAACTAATTGCAGCAGGACATTCCTGCTTTTAGACTTCCTCTTAAGTGACTTTGCATAAGTGTATTTGTGCAGCAGAGGTGCAGGGCAGATTAATGTGACAGTCTGGTGCTGGGGATGTGGTGAGGTGCCTTCTGGGCTCCTGAAAGCCCTTAATATGCCATTGTGCTGCACTCAGAGTGCTTCTGCTGGGAAAGTTTCATTGCAGGTTAAGACTTGACATAAGCAGTTTCCATACCATGCTGGCTTTGCTGGGCAAAGCTTGGTTTGTGCTGTAACACTTGTGCACCAGGTGCTTTGGTGCTGGGGTGTAGAACTCTGAGCTGCACTGGGGAAGGTTCCAGCAGAGCTGATCCTCTCCATTTCTGCCTGCTGAAGAGGGAAAGGCTATCACTGATTCCCCACGGAGTTGCCTTTGGTGAGAGCTCTCTTAGCCCTGGCAGGGCTGCCGAGGCCGGGTGAGGAGGGCGATGGCAGCTGTGGCACTGCAGGGCCCTGCAGGGATCTCTGTGCCCCAGTGCTGGGAGAGCCAGAGTCACCAGGGAGTCACACACAGAAGGAGGCAGGTGAGCAAAACTAAGGCCTCCATAATCCTGAGGGTGCACACTATCTACTTATCTATTTCCCTGTGGATTGCTGAGGGCTTGCTAATGAGCAGTGCAGGGCTAATGAGCAGTGCAGGCTGTTGTCTGAGTTGCTGTGGCTCCACACGCTCCTGGGGGTTCCTGGTACTGGGGGATGTGGGTGATCACAGCAATCGGCTCCACCTTGCAGCCCTGACCCAAGGACTGAATGAAAACCTGTGCCACCAAAGTGTTGATGCTTCTTTCCCCCCCCCACTGCAGTCACGGTGTGATTTAGGATGAAGTCAGTCAGCCACAAACGCATTGCTGTGCTATGATAGCCTTTAAATACAGACTTGAAGAGCTTGATTTTTTAAATGCTAACTCATACTAACGTTTTATTCCACATCCCATAAGTGTGTTGTCACCAAAGTTTACATATGCTGCTACAGTAAAAATTTTCAAAAAGGTTAAATGGGCAACTTGGAAGAATAGAAATATAAAGAAAGGGAAAGAATTGTAGCTGGCAGTTCTAACAGATGTTAAAATTTCTGGCTCCAGACTGTGTGTGTGTGTGTGTGTGTGTGTGTGTGTGTGTGTGTAGGCCAGCCAATGTGGAAACTACTTCAAACAACCTGAAAAGGTTTGGCTTTTGCTGGGTAGGGCTGAACTCCATCAGATTCAGCTTCTTTTGAACTTGAAATAAGTGCTTGCTTCCAGTGTGTGTAGTAGTCAATTGGAAATGTAGATTTGGTGGATCATAGATTTCTTCCAAAGAAATACAAATATATTTGAAAAGTAGTTTGTTGCATAAAGTTGCCATGACAATGATCTTCAAAATGTGAACTGTAAGATGTTGCTTCTCCTCTGTTTAAACAGGTTCCTGGGGGAATGAGGCTTCACAGTGCCCTGTGTCCCTCCTCTCTTCTTTCCTCCCTGATGATTTATAAAAGGAATTATTTAGATGCAGGGGGCCAAAAGAAATTAACATAGAGTGCCAGATGTTAGATTTTCTTACATTTTTGAAATTCATGGGATGCTATAGTCAAATAGGAAGAAATCCAAGCTAGTACTTCCACCACGAGAGAGGCAGGCGCTCCTCTTCTCCTCTGCACATTAAAGCTGGCTGATGGCTGTGCACCCACAGGACTGTCTGCTAAAAGAGCTGTGAGGCCTTGGAAGAGAGATTGTTTGTGTGGAAGATGAGGTTTGAGAGCTAAGAATATAAACCCAGCATGAAGGAGCTTTTTGGTCTATCCACCTCAATGGATAAATGGTTCAGTGGAGATACGTTTTTGCTCTGTGTGTGTATATGTGCAAAAGTACAAACCAGAGTTTCTAGGTGTTTTGAAACCTTTTGAATGCCCATTTCTCTGGACTTTTAAAGCTTTTTTAAAAACTTTGATCTGAACTAGGTTTTATTTGTCAGTCGAATTTGTCCTAGTTCAAATACAGGACTCGGGTTTCGGGAAAACTCAACTTTTGTGGAGATTGACATGTATGATAAGACCTTGTTTCATGGTTGTCTGTCTACATTCATTCCCTGCTTTCTACTGAAGAAAGCACTGAACAAGCTAATGTTTCTACTTGTTTCCTAAGGAGTAGATCTTATGCAAAAGGTAAGCATGCAGCAAGGCAGCTTTTGATCACTTGTCTGCTCCCTAGATGTACTAAGAGCTGTAAAAACAAGACATTTTAGTGTTTCTGTTCGTGTGGTGGAGCAGGGGAGTGTTGCCAGAGATTTCTTGTTTGTTGTTTTTCTTCTAGATCAGATACAGAGGTGTTGACTAGGGGCTACAGTTGTAGCTCTTGCTACACAAACCAGACATACCTTTGTCTGTCATCTCTTCAGAGGTTCCTAGTTGTATAGCAGAGCTGGGAATTTAAGAGAAGCGAAGTTGAGCCAGCTCAACTGAACATGGGAAAACAAACATGGAAAAGAATGTGCTAGAGAATGAAAAAAAGAGAATTACCCTCCAGACCCAAATCATGCTTTGCTAGGTAGCAGCTGTCTGGCATTCACAGATTAAACAGCCGCTTAGCTAACATGCAGTGACAATGATAGCATGTCCTCTGTTTTGCTTTGAGTGCATGAAATGAGGAATTAACTCTCCCATGCTGAAAGCCATAAAAGTATCCGGAAGTGCATGTTTACTCCTAACAAACATTTGAACTTGTCTGTAGTTTTCAGTACCTGTTTTATTCTTGTTATGACAATACAGAGTGCATGGTGTTAATGCTACTTTATATGTTAAAAATGAAGTAGTTTTTTATAAGATGACTTTGAACAAATGGAGTTTGGCTCTGAAGGGTTTTATTAAATGCATAATTGGTTCTCAGTGGTTTGGTGCATTTCATGGTTTTCATGACCTCTTCTAAATGTGAAGATTTGTGTGGTCTTTTGTCTTTCAGCATTACATGTGGAACCCAGGGAGCCTGAAGGAAGCTGTGAAGTTAATGGAATGATTCCCTGTGTAGCTGGAACTACGTAAGTATTAGATGTTTGCTTGCAAGATCACCTGCCCAGTATCAGTTGTTGGAGCAAGGACTCCTTCGGGTTCAGCAGTGGCAATGATCCCCTCCTGCCTCCCCAGTGGAAAGCTCTGTGTGTCTGTTCAGAGCTGGAAGAAGACAGGGCACCCATGATACTGTTCCCTACTCTCAGCTGTTTTGGAAGTCATGTATCCCTGTCCACTAAAAGGTAGACAATGCATAGTGGAATTCTGTGAAATTCTTACAGACTATGCTCGAGTGTTTGTAAAAAGCTGAGGTGGATTGAGGCTTAGTTAAACTCTAGCAGTGTTGTCTTTGCCTTAGCTAGTGAACTGCTACTTGGAAAGGGATTTAATGGTTGGCTGAGCTGTGTCCCCTTTTGTTATGAGATTTCCCAAAATTTGTCTTGGAGGTGTTCTTGAATGTATGGAAGGTTTTTTTCTTCTACTCTCTTGATACTTTCTCTGTTTGGAAACTCATTGTAAATACTTTCTGATGCAATACTTTACTAAACAGCATAATGCTTGTTTTGCTTGTTATTCTCTGGACATATCCAATAATTTCTATTACTACAATAACACCAGTCATCAGAGAAAAATACAAGGTTGCTTAAATATCTCCTTTGCATCTTCTCCCCTCCTGCCAGCTCTCCCCCACTTCAGTGCTGCCATTTTCAGTTGTGCCATGGTGTGCCTGTATGACAGAGAATTATTACTGAGTCACTTTGTTTTGCTGCCTTCAGATCTTGGGTTATGTGGGATCTGGTCCCTTGAAAATGGAGAAAAACCGAATTCCTTACAGCACTTAGAAAAAAATCCCCCACAAAAACCCCACCAAAACAAAAAGCCCCACCAAGCATTAGCCAAGGCCTTTGCAATCTCCTCTAGGTTTTTCATTGTATAATGAGGCCATATGGTTCTGCTTATCCTTTTTTCTTAGAGAGTCACTTGCCTTTCACTGACTGTATTCACCAGCACTGATCCTCCTGTGTTCCCCATTGCTGCCTCCTTTCTAGAAAGGTGCAGAGAACGTCACTGTCAGTCTCTGCTTTGCAGTTCCTGTTATGTGGAAGATGGCCTCATGGGCTTCTTGGTGATTCATATGTGCTGGAGGTCATTGCTCAATCCTTGTCTGACTAATAAACTTCTTTGGGACTTCTGCATCCTGTAGCACTGGGCACATTCCAACCTTAGCCCTGAATTTTGACCTTTTCTCGCAGAATGGCCAAAGCAGTGGTCAGTGCTGCCTTTTATGTCTTGCTTTTATGTTGTACAAGCCTCTTACAGTAATGTTGCTCGTGGGAATTGATCCTTTTGGAATTGGTACTTTGCCACCAATCCAGTGTAACCTTTGGGCACGAGAGGAGTTTATACTTGTAGTTCCTGATCCAGCTGGGAGAAATATCTCTGCAGGTCCTCGCACTCCTGTGGCTGTGCTTGGCATGACCAAGATGTGACACTGGCATTGCTGTGCAGGAAAATGACAGCTTTGCTCACCTTCCTGAGAGTGCCCTCTCTCACTCCTTGGACACTGGCTTCAGTGCAGCCCCTGATGCTGCAACTAGATCCTCTCTCCAGCCTTCCTTAACAAAAGGGCCGACTTCTCCCACTTGTTTCTATCTCCTTCCGAGGCTCTTGTTCCTTTCATGCCTTGAAACCTGAGTCATGTAGGAAGCGGAGGTGACTCCTAAGTGAAGTGGATCCAGCTCAGTGAAGGCGATTTACAGAAGGGTAACTGATGGAGTGCCAAAAGACTTTTCTCTTACAAAACCAGATACATGCACAAGCTGCCAGCGGATGCAGTCTGGCTTTTTTTTTTTTTTTTTTTTTTTCTTCCCAAGCTGGTTTTGCTATTTTTGGGGTAGAATGCTTCTAAGTATCTGGCACATGGCATCAAGTTTCGTGTAGTACAAAAGTGAGGAATTGCAGCAACTGTACATCAATATCTTCTCATGTTTGTTCATAAGGAGTAGGATTGTGCTCTGAAAATCTCGACAGGGAGGAGGAAGGAAGAACTTACTGCAGGGAAGAGCAGTGCTGGCAGTGCCCAGGCAGGAGCTGTTCAGGTGCAGCGCTGGGCTCCTGGTAAGGCAAGTAAGAGTACAGAAATTGTGTTTGTTAGAGGGGTACGATGCAGGGGACGTGGTTACTTTGCACTCTGTGGGTAAATGCTGCTGTGCTTGCCAGGGGTTTTTGGGAACAGCTGTTGGATTGGGACACTTTCTCACATACAGGTGTCTAATAATGCTGGCTGACCTTCTCTCTCCGTATTGCAGTGCTTTTTTTGTGACAGCAAATGACTTTAAACCCCATCTCTTTCATCAGGCAGGTGATGTCACTTTGTACACCTGAATATTAGATTGTTATCATCTTTAATACAAGCTGTTGCTTAGGAATGGCAGCATGAATGACTTGTATTAGGAAAAGTTACAGACACAGTATGTCAGTCTCACAAACTGCCTTTTTTTTTTTTTTTAGCTTTAAATTGGGATCCTAAAGTGAATTGGATTAATCTCTGTCAATTATGCTGTGTGTGATTTGAGTACTACCAGCTACTTTAAAGGAAAGTACTGCTCACTAATAGGCAGCTATTCTTTAACCTGCCCATAGGGAAAAGCTGTTCCAAATCACCAATAGCTAAAAACTGCTGTTATGTGTTTGAGCAGAAAATTTTTTGTACTGCTTAAACTCTGCTTTAAACTCTAACACTGATCTGATCTTTCCTCCAGATTTTTTTATTCTGCTCTTTTACCTGCATGTTTCTCTCTAAAGAAAAACTCGTCCAGTGTAGTGCTTGCTACCTGTCCCTGAGAAACTGACTGAAGAACAAGAATTAGTGTAGATTGAGCTTTTGAGTTCTGCTGAATTTAAAGATAAGGGGAAAAGCTGGTATCTGGTAGTTAATCACTAAGCAGTTCTTACTCTGCCTACTAATATCCTGTTTATTTTGGTGTAATGAAGTAATGACTGGTGGAGGCTGGAGAAGATGATGTTGCTCAGGCACATGGCAGCACAGGAATCAGTGCTAGGCTGTGCTCTGCAGTTCACAGAGCTATGAAGTACTGAGGGCCAGTGAAATTGTCTTTTGGGTTGTTTATGTGGACATGCATATTTTCAGGAGTCCTTTAAGATACAAATTACTAAGAATTTTTTTAATACATTAAATTGAACTTTACTTGCCTATAAAAATGATGCTACAAAGTTCATCTTCAAAGCAGTGTGATGACAGGATGTATTAGATGTTTGTTCCTTTGGCTGCTTAAAAATAAGTATTTGTTTGTTATGTGTATGGGTTATGTGCTTAAGAAAAGGGATTGGGGAAGGAAAGGGAAGACAGGTAGTTGAAACCAGCATCTTGGCTGTTGTAACCAACATACAGGCCTTTTGTAGTTGCAATGGCAAAAGTTTTTGTTCATGAAACTGCATGTGTGCTGTTTTCTCAAAACAGGGACAAATGGCTGAGAGAAGGTTTATGTCTGAAAGCTGAGAATTCATCTGTACTTGTTGCTGCAGTTGGTTTACAGCTTAAAATGGGCTCAGCCTCATAAGAGCTCTAGTGAAGAAAGAATGAATACAGAAAAACTGATATGACATCTATTTTATTTATTTATTTATTTATTTATTAATTTTTATCTCTCTTCTTTCTTGTACAAATTCTAAGCTGGAAGCAGTACACAAAGACAAGGCAAACCAAATTTTTGTGTTTGAGGCTTTTGCCTAGCTGACAGCAGAGATGAAATGCAAATGACTGGGTAAAGGAGGAATATGATAAGCAATTGCTTTCTTGGAGTTGATGTTTCTGAGAAAGGGACTGTCCACAGCGTGGCTGCCTGCTGATAGGGCAGCGTCAGAGTGTTAGTTTGGCTTTAATAGGGAAAATTTGAGAACCCTTTTCTGTGGGTAAAATATCTTTTCCAAATATGCAAGGCTTTGTGATTTATAAAAACAGAGTATGATGAAATCATTTTGGCATTTTAATTTTTATTTAAAAAAAAAAAAAGAAAAAAGCCTGAACTGGAATTACTACTTCTTATCTGCATGTGTCTGTCTGAAGAAGATTCATTAAGAAGGCCCCCTCCCCTGTCTGTCTCATTACCTGAAGGGAGGAGCCCACTTGAAACAATTAACAATTCCTGAACACCCTCTTGGATGAAAAGTGAGTGTTGCCTCCTTTTTGCAAACACGCTCTGTGTACGTTTTAAGTATTTAAAAAAATCTAATTCCAAACTCTGTTTAAAAACAAACACACAACTTCCACTCTCCTTCTTTCATAAAAAAAAAAAAAAAGCCAACAGCCAAACCCCCAAACCCCCTTTTGCTGATTTGTTGAAGGTACAGTTTACATTCAATGCTTAGGTCTCTGCCAGGTTGTCCCATCAGTGTCCCTGTCCCCTCTCCCCTGCTTTGTTTCAGTGTTCTATATTCTATATATAAAATGTGGGTATACTTCTAAAAACCATTTCCTTTAAAATATTTCTAGGTTAGAGTAGTCTGTCTTGATGAAGCCTGTACATGAATCAACCTCTTTGTAACCTATGTTGCGGTAAGAATTTTAGGAATTTCCTTTATTAGGACCCGTTAGGATACTGCAGCCACTGAGTGAGCTGCATTGATTTCTAGGTAAAACAGTCTGAAATTGCCTGAAATTTATGGCATTGCCAGCCTTCTGTACACTGCTCCTTTTCAGTATTTAGAACTTAAATATCCTGAAGTCGGTCGCTTACTGGCAAATGTTATCCCACATTTAATACTTAAAATATCCTTTGTAGACAGACAGCAGTGTGACTCTGAAACTGTTTTTCAGGTTAGCTGAGTGCTGCTAATGGCATGGTGAGATGTGTTGAAGAGCAGCTGCGAGGGTGTCCAAGGGCAGGGGGACTGCGCTAGGAGCTGGTGTGCAACATCATGGGCCAGTGCGTCACCAAGTGCAAGAATCCTTCTTCCACCCTGGGCAGCAAAAATGGGGAAAGGGAATCCGGCAGCAAGTCCCACAAGAGAAGTGCAGTCCACAAAGATGACCATGGCTCAGCTTGTGGGAAGGCTTCAGGAGACATCCTTGTGAATGGGACAAAGAAAATGGACACTGCTTTGGAGTCCAGTCAGCCCCCGACGTTTTCTGGAGATACAAAGAAAGACTCTGTTTGCAGCGCGGAAGAATCTTCGCTTCAAAGGATCGGGGAGTTGTTTAGGAGGTACAAGGATGAACGGGAAGATGCCATACTGGAAGAAGGGATGGAACGATTTTGCAATGACCTCTGTGTTGATCCCACTGAATTTAAAGTACTAGTTTTGGCTTGGAAATTCCAGGCTGCTACCATGTGCAAATTTACAAGGTTAGTTCTTGTAGAACTTGTAATTATTTTCATATGTTAAAGTATATCCTGTCAGCTGTATGTTGGAGACACAGCCTCATTAGCTTCACTTATTTCTTCTAACACTTGCATTTTGATCAAATTAATTCCTACCACTGCAGAAGGGAAGCTTTGTATTGCCTTCTTCTCCCCTTCCCCTCACAGTGGGTTTCAGAAGACGTAGTTTTGGTCATTATGGTGCTAGTGATGAACAGTGTAGTGAGACTCTGTAGACATTCATTTATTCTTGATTTACCAAAAGCAGTTTGCTGTACCCAGCATTATCTTGGACACTGAAATTAATTTTTCCTTTAAAGTAATGTGAGATTCTTTAGTAATTGCTACCAACTCCATTACCAGTCTGTGAAAGAATAACAAAATTGTTCCTGCCCAATCAGTGTTATACTTAATGTCTTTTTCCAAGAGTAATCCTGTTAGAGCATAGTGAGGGAAGGAAATGTGAGGGGTTTGACTCTAGTAGCAGTTTTGTACCCGCTGACAAGCGATTGCTATTCAAATGCTGTCTGCCCTTCTGGACAAGGGGCTCAGTCAGCAGGCTCACAGCACGTGTGATGCTCCAGGAAACAACAGAATGGCTAAAACCTACCCCACAAAGCCCACAGCCAAAACCCAAACTGCAGCAGCCTCCCCCAACTTGATGAGCAATGTCCAGGTAAGAGCAAGTAAAGACTGTCTACAGGGACTTGCCAGCAAAGGAGAAATTTTTTAATTTTTTGGTCTATCTAGATTGGTTTGAATAATGCTGCCTATTTTTACTGAGCTTATAACTTTCAAAATTATTTTGGTGTTCAGAGCCTTCACCCAAGCCTTTGTTGTGCACTGAACACAGATAACTATTCCAGCGTCTTCAGAGTCCTTGTGTCTGTGGGCGTGTGTCACATGGGTGAGTTACTCTGGAATGCAGATGTGGATTTACTGGAGGCTGAAGGCACAAGTATTTGCTAAGATGGTAAAGGAATTGTAAGCAGTGTCTGTGATTCTGCACAACCACCATGAGTGTTATTAATATGGTTTTGGTTTTCTTGGAGGGGCCAGATCTAGTGGTGAGCAGTTACCATTGTTTCAGGGCATGCTCCATGATACAAGTGCTGACTGACTTTTTCCATTAAGGAAAGCTTCTCCTGCGTGCTGCTCCATCTCTTGTCCTCCCTCCAACCCATTCTGCAACACCTGCTGGCTCTGGTTAATATTGACTGGTTATAACACTTGCTCATGAGCATCAGATCAGAGCTAACACTGGTCAGAGTGTTGGTCAGCCAGTTAGTCCAGCAGTGGAGCTTTGAGCAGTGTTGTTGTGCTGTAGCCCATGTTCTGTGATGCTCTGCTCCCTTCCACACTCCCAGCAGGTGCCTCGTTGACCATCACTGTTGGCGCCCTTTTGATTTTGCAGGTTGGAAGAGCAACAAAAAAACACAGGAAAGCCACCAGTGAAGTACTCTGTCCCTTGAGAACAGCTGGCCCAGAACATGGGCATTTAGACATGGGCAGTATTGAATCAATTTGGGGTAAATGTGTCCATTTCAAACATTTGGAATTTCCTCTGTGGTACATTGGAATTCACTTTTTAATGTGAAAGGCACTGGATGTGGCAGTGTCCCATAGTCAGAAAGCCAGACAGCAACATCTTCCAAATGCTCACAGTGCCCCAGTGGATCTGGGGGCTAGGTGTGGTTCTCCAGGCCATAAGGAATGCCTTGGAACTGTCTCTCTTTTCAGTAGGTTCCATTGCCAAAATCTTTGTGCCACCTGGGCAGAGTGTGCACCTTGTCTTGTCCAGGTGATCCTGTTCCGATTTGCCGGAGCTGAACGGAGATGGGAAGCGCTTGGCACGCGAGGTCGGTGGGAAGTGCTCACACTAATTTCTCTTCTCTTGCTTCATAGGAAGGAGTTTTTTGAAGGCTGCAAAGCAATAAACGCAGACAGCATTGATGGCATTTGTGCAAGGTTCCCCAGCCTCCTAAACGAAGCCAAGCAGGAAGATAAATTCAAGGATCTCTACCGTTTCACCTTCCAGTTTGGCCTGGACTCTGAAGAAGGACAGAGGTCGCTACATCGGGAAATAGCCATTGCCCTTTGGAAATTAGTCTTCACCCAAAACAAGCCCCCTATTTTGGACCAGTGGTTACACTTCCTCATCAAGAACCCCTCAGGAATCAAGGGAATCTCCCGGGACACGTGGAACATGTTTCTAAATTTTACTCAGGTGATTGGACCGGACCTTAGCAATTACAGCGAGGACGAGGCCTGGCCGAGTCTCTTCGATACCTTTGTGGAGTGGGAAATGGAGCGAAGGAAAAAGGAAGAGGAAACCAAATGTGTTACATCTTTGGACACAGAGGGCCTGTGTGAGGAACAGACTTAGCGGTGTCCAAGCAGCAGTGACGAAAGCAACTTGTTGCCCTTCACAAAATGTAAACTCTGGATGTTTCTGGAAATTACCGAGGCTCCAGATTTTTCTACTTTACACCTTTTTCTGCCTTGTCTTTGAAAGGGCTCTAAAATGCTGTATCATTTTTAGGCACTTTCTTAATTTTGGTTATTCCTTTTACTCTTGCCCTGAAATATTTGACCCTGGCTACAAGTTAAGCGTTTTTGGGGGTTGTTTTTTTTTAAGACTTCAGATTAGTATAAGTAAGTCTGATATTTCTTGCACAATGTAGATCTTTTTAGTTAGGTTAAATTAACATTGCTAAGTTATACAGTGCCAGATTAAGTTTTTCATACTACATCTGTCAGGGCAGGTCTGTACTGTGTGTAGTGCTGTTTACATTGTTGAAATTTTAGGTTATAATAATTTTAAGGTTTTATACCAAGATAAACAGCAGTGTTAACTATAAATGCATTAATCCCAGGTAATAAGGCTCTAAAAACCAACATAAGCAACAGCTTTTTGTAATATGGCTAATTCTCATTTTGAGCTAACTCTTAGTGAATGAGTCCAGATCATTCCTTTTTTTTGGACTTTCAAACTAAATGTTGGGATTGTTTTATAAAATTACTGTACCTGTCAGTCAACTGAGTGGTAGATGACGATTTGTATCTAAATCTCTTTACACGTTCATGTAATAAAAGAGCAGTACTACCTCAGTTTTATTGAAAGTGGACTTGTTGATGGACTTCCATTTTCTCTGGAAGTTGTATTTTTGTGGTTACATGAGAATATTTTTACTTGACTAAAAGAACCAAAGGTTCTGCTTCTTAAGTTTGCTAAACATTGACAGAAGCAACACACAAATCCTAAGTCTTCAAGGAAAACTGTGGTATAATTCTGCTTTAATTTGTTTGATTTATACCTAAAGTATTACCTTACTTGTCTGGCAAGCACAGTACTTCTATGTAAGGAACTATCTTTTGCATTAATATTGACGAACCAATTTTTTAAAACCTATGTTTAATTGCTAAATTGCAGTTAATACTCCACACTTTCTGGAGAAACAATATCGGCATCTGATGACAAAGTGAATTCTTAATGTGTTCTTAATGACAACAGTGTAGATGAGTCATTTTTAGACTGATTTGATAATATTTGGATAGGAGTCAATTTATTATTTTACAATGCCTGTATTGGGACTATTTGCCTGTTGAAATTGTTGTGACTTAAAGGGAGTTTTATTAACACTGGTTGAAACTTTTTTGGTTATTGATGCTACCTTTTTCAATTTTAGTATGTCAACTTTTTTACACCTTTTGGTAAAAGGAATGATTGCCAAGGCTTTCTCTATAGCCAAGTGCTGGCTTAGTTAATTTGATAAACTTCCGTTACACACCTTTTATTTTCAGAGCTGCATTTCAGGATCATAAAATGACTTCATCTGAAAAAACCAAACCAAAAAAAAAAAAAAAAAGCCTGGACATTCATCCATAGCATCCAATGGCTTTTGTGCTATAAGGGTTTTAAGGCTGAAGGGAAACAGGTTTTAACTGGTGAGCTTGCCACCAGATGCAGGATGTCGTGCTTTGCACGTGTGCTGTGCCCCAGAGGGGTTAACAGAGAGAGGAGCAGGATCTGCCCCAATTCTGGGACTGGCTTTGCTGGTGTGCAGCCTCTGCAATAGCTTGGCTCTGAGGTCATAAATCACTAACAAAATGTGGGTAATGGAAACTGTTTAAAAACAAACCCACAAGCCACAGATAGCATCTCTTTCATCTAATTAAAGGAGAGTTTGGTCCATGCTGCTCTTGCTGGGAGACAAGCTGTGGAAAACAAATGTGTTTGGTTTAGATGCAGCTGAGTCTGTCCCTTGGCAGGAGGAGAGCCCTGAAGTTGCTGTTTCATGGGTAAATATGCCCAAAGCTTTGTCCTTGCTACTCTAACCTTCCAAGCTACTGTGGCACGAGCACTGTTTGGCAGCAAAACCTGATTCTGGTTTGGTGAGCAAAGCAGGCCAAAGCACTTGTGCTGGTGTTGAATTTATGGCAAGACTTTTGTTGGTGCTGTTACTTTTTAAAAACTAAAATAAATTCCCCAACAGAGGCTGCTTTGTTAGGAAAAGTTCCAAATGAAGACTGTATTTCTAAGTTTGAGACTCTTCATTCATTCAGCTATTAAACACTTTGTTCATCACTTAAGTTTTTTTTTTTTCCTAAAGGAAAATTAAAATGTCCAGAGTGTGAAGACTCTTCAGTTGATAGCCCGTGCATGCCTGCACACCAGATCAGGGCAGGGGCTGCTTCTCATTTACCTGCTAACATGCAGCAGCTCCAAAGGATGAGGGATAGAGCTTTTTTAGGAAGATGTTTATCTTGTGGTTGGAATGTGGACAGCAGGGAAGAAATCAATCTGTAGCACATCAAGCTCAGCCCATTTAATGTATCAGATGTAATACAGCTTCTTTTTAAGGCAGAGGTGAACACACAGGAAGGGAAAATCTGGTTTCCTGTTGGGGAAAGGACATACCATTGCCAGTGGCTGAGTCTCCATGTGTTCAGTGTGGGGGGACAGCCCTGCTCCTGCTCTTCTGCTTCCAGGAGCAGGAGCAGCTCCACCCCCTGGACAGAATACTTGCAAAAATAGCCAAATGATCTATCTAGCAAAGTACCATTTATTTTTAGCCTAATTTCAGTCTTTTAATTACCATTTACAGAATGCAAACCAGACCTGTATCAGTTTTAAGCTCTGAACCAGGAGCTGGAGGTGCAGCTCTTTGACAGTGCTGACAGTGAGCAAGGCTGTCAGACCTTCCTTGGATTGCCTGGTGATTTTGGGATCCTAAATGAGACTCACCCGTGCTCTGTAATGCTGGGGTGGGGGACTGGGGTTTGCACAGGTTTCTGAGAAGTCTTTCATAATATTGGAGCCTCTGAAAATATGTTTGTTTAATGGTTAAACTGTGAATATCTGTGGAACAGGCCAAATACATTCACTCTTCATTTTTATATAATTTAAATCTTTATTGTGTAGGGCACAGGACTGTAAGTGAGCAGTGATGCTGATGAAATCCTTGAAACCATTGCAACTGTTTAATTTTTTTTTTGAATTAGAGTATGCATTAGGGAACTTTATGCATGTAGTGAATCTGCTGCAACTTGGGATAAATAACTATAGGTAACTATATAATTCTAGTAATATACTGGAAAACTGGTCTGACATCCACAGTCTGTGGCATTTTATTGCCTTCTCTTATATGCAAAGAAATACAACTCCTGTACACTTTAGTCCCTGGTAATAAAAGGCTGACCACCTGCACCATATTATAGTTTGCAACACCTTTAAAATTTGCCTTCCAGGTCAACTGGAGGCTCAGTTGTGCTAAATTTTACTCGCATGGGTGCATTTCTGAGGTCAAAGACTGATGACTGATTGATTCAAGTAAGGATTTGAAAGGTCCTGCCCAGAGAACACGACTGAGGAAATGAATTGGAATTGAACACTGTATTGTGAGTTTACTTACTGCTGGTGCTACTTTCCATGGAGAATTACAGCTTTTTAGTACTGTGCAATTGTAATGAAAGAACCACAGGAAAAATAACTGCAGGTGTGGCAGGTGGTGCAAAAGCAGACAGCTGGAGCCTGCAGAGGGAATGCCAGGAGCGGCTTCCCCAGGCTGGGCTGGCAGATCCACTCATGGATCAGCCTCTGGACCATGGCAGCTTCTCAGCCAAGCACAGGTAGAGCGTGAGGGGAGTTCCCCCTGCTCTGCTGACTGTGGGTGACTCGGGTTGGGGCACAGATGCAGCCCCTGCTCCCACGGGCAGGGTGGGTGCCAGGTGGGTCAGTCAGTGCTGGGGCAGCAGCAGCTTTGCCTGTGTAACTTTGATCATTCACTCCTCCCATGTCCACCAGAGCCTGAAGAACCCATGGATGCAGGACTAGGCTGTCATCCATGGTTCCCAGGCATAGCTATGCACTGCCCAGTGACCTTAGTCTTTTCATGACACTGTCAACATAAGTATCTTCCTTACAGTTCTAAGCCTTGGTTCTAAAAAAAGCCCAGCAAAGTTAAAAGAAATGCCATGTAGTTAATAGCCACCTCAGTCGTGATATAATTTGTTGGCTGAGGTTACATCATTCCCATTCTTTGGAAAATAATAGTCATTGTGAGTTTCTGGGTCTTGCAGCCTTGTGTTCTGCAATGTGATCCTTTTTTAGAAGGTCCTCAGTAAATTAGGCACTCAGTTCTTCCCTTGGGTTCACTCTGCTCAAAGTGTGTGCATGTGAATTTAGCTCTTCCTGTTAAAAAAGGAAGATGCTTAACCTGAAACTCCAAATTCTTCAGGATAGTGCTTCAATATAGAGCAAAATGTATTTTTTCAAATAAGTATTACAAGCAAAGTGTCTGCTTAAACTTTGTTGTGTGCAAACAAACCCACCAGTGTTAAGATTTTCTCTCTGGACTATTGAAAATCGAACCTTTGGTTTGATAGTGTCAACTGAAGTGAAATACATGAGATTGTAAGACAGAAAGAAGGCTGTAACTCCTTCACCATGAAGTACATAGGTATCTCTACCTCTTGTTCTTAGACTTGAATAGTTGAAGGTTACCATCCTTTTGTCCCAGGATTTTATGCCTGGGTGAGTAATCTATTTTTTTTAATCGACCCAAGTTAAGTATTATCTATTTGCCATAGTTTTTGGTATACTGTGTTTAATGTGTATGCAATGGACCCTTGGAAAGGGAGCCGGGTCAAGCTGCAAACCAGTGTGTTGGTCCTCCCGGGTGCTACTTTTGGAGTGCAATAGAGCGGCCGAGCAGAGCTCCACGGCCTGGGCTCAGGGGCCTCTGTCAGCACATCCTCTTCCCTGCTCGGGCTGCCTGTACTGACAGTGAATTGAAGATGGAGCAGCTGCTCCCCAGGAGGGAGCCACCAGCCTTTTCGTTTGCCCTTGAAAAGCTTTAGGAACCCACCTGATGCAGTGCCATGAGTGTATTTTTATTTTAATCAAAAATACTGTGTTTTGTTCATGTTGGACTGGACCTGTAACACCCAGCAAAGATGGGAGCTGCAAAAGCATAAAGGCTGCACTCATCCTTTTCCTCTTGGAGGTCAGAATCCTGCTCAGGATAAAACCCCTATGCTGAGTAAAGCTGGAGTGTTCTTGAGGGCACTGGAGGTGCCAGAGTGGCTCCAGTGCTCAGCTGTATTAATTAATGCATTGAGGGGGGGTGGTTTTTTCATGCAGCACATCTGTGTCCCCTGCTCTCATTCCCCAAACCAAACTACAACACAATTACTGTCATGGCAAATCCCCAGGAGATGCGATGCTGTAGCAACTGTTGCTGCAAGAGTCTTCTTCCAGTGTGTGTGAGGGCTGCTTTTGGGGTGTGACCTCTTGCACTATTAGGATGGGCATGGGTTTCAAGAGAACGAGGGGACATGTGAGACAATAGGTAAAAGGAGCATGGACGTTCTTGTCCTGACAGCTTGCCTTAAATCACTGACATTGCAGCGGTTCCTTGCTACTATTGCAATCCTCAGTCTTTGAAAATCCAGCAGGTTCTGTAGGTTATACTATTTTTGGTTTTAATTTTTTTAATAAGTATCTATCTTTGCATAATTGCACTCTTCAGATAAGCCCTTTTTGGATAACATGTCATTTCTCACACAGGGGAAAAAAAAAAATCCATCTCCAATGTTTGTGTTGTAAAGTGGGGTTTTTTTCCCTCTTGTAAATTATATTTGGACTAAAGGTTGCCTACTCTTGAACCAGCATGTTTACTTGAATGTTGCCATTTTATGCAGTTACAGCTGCTGACTCTTGCTCTTCTCTGGGCCCATGAGAGTGGAGATCGTGTGACCAGAGGTGGCAAACCTTGCACAGAGGATCAGTGGAGCTGAAGGCTGTGCTACTCCCAGGTGTATTCCACATCAGAGGACTGAATAGTACTCGATATTTTGAAGTTGTGATTTTTTAAGTCACGTTAAACATAGTTATCTTAAATATATGCTTGCTTTCTTACCTGTAAGTTTGAAATAGTCTTTAAAAAGGACATGGACTGGCAGGAGTGGTGGGAGGGCTTCATGCTTTTAGTTGTTGAGTAACTCGAGTTCCAGGAGCTCCAGGATGGGACTGTCAGAATTAGGTCCTGATCCAACACTGTTGGGGTTTGCACTGGCTGGTCTTGAGGGCATGAAGCAAATGCAAGGCCTTGATGGGCTCCCTGGAGAAGGGTCAGCCTGGG